TATGTAGGATCTCCTACATCCCTTCCAAGTGGATGGCAGTGGTAGCTGGGCACCATCTAGTTCTTCTGGTCTCATAGTTGTAAAATCTTGCTATGTTTTAAGAAATTATCATGGCTCTAATTTCAAACTATCATCTAAACAATTTAATTAAAAACTGTTTCTTCATCTTTAATGTATATTTGGGATAGTATTTTGACTATATTTTGAATAGTAGAGGTGGAGGAAAGGCTGTCATTGCATTGCAGTGGTATGAATTTTCTGAACTTCATTAAATATTTATAGGCTTTATATTAATTTGAGCCCCTGTTTTTGTTCATACTAGGTAATTGACAGTAAATTAAGCATCTCCAGGAATATTTAATCTAATGATGCTATTTGAGTATTTCTCATTAACTTTCACAGTAAAATCACATTGCAATGTTATTTGGCTATTATTCAGGCTTACTAATAGCTCTTTTCATATATTAGTAGAAAAATGATAAAAGTTATTTGGGATTTGGAAGTGAGTTATGGAGTTGGAAAAAGATAATTCTTCTTATAGACAAATATTTTATAGATGACTTAAAAAATCTAGATAGAATTAGAAGGTTGTTGAGTGGTAGAAAGTTCAAGGTAAAACAATTCCATGATATTTTATTTTTTTCTAGATTGTCTTTTACTGTCAGTTCTTAGAGTTATATTTTAAGATTTAACAAAGAATTTAGAGTTACTGATTCCAGACTGAGATCTTTTATCATTTCCTCCAATATTTTTGTATTTTTTTTCATAGCTATTGCTTATGTGTTGATTGGCAGTGGTCTCTATGATGAAGCGATAAGGCATTTTTCAACAATGCTTCAGGTACTTTTTCTTCCGTATATAATTTCAAGTTTATTTTCATGATGAAAATAATGGATTTATACATAGCTAAAGTGCTGAAATAAAACATTTGTTCTAAGACTCTACAAGAAAGTAAAGGAAATCACATTGAGTGGGTACTTTTTGGTGCAAGGCCTGATAACGTGCTCTCATTTAATCTTTGCAGCATTACTTTATTCCAAATGATGAACATGAGATCTAATGAGGTCAAGTAATATGTTCATAGTCTCCCAACCGTGAGGTGGAAAAGATGGGATACAAGTGCAAGTTTAAAAAGACAAAGACTTGTTTCAGCTCACTTTCCTCTCCACCATGGTATCTGTCATAAGATGAGGACATTTGAAATTCCAGATGTTTCTTTTCTTTACAGGTGTTGGATCTACATAATGACTTAAGTTACAGTCAATGATTTGTTTTTTATCTTAAAGGATAATTATGAGACTCCTCAGGAGCTCTGGTGGGGGTAGTGCCTAAGGCATTTGACTGCTTACCAGAAGGCTGGAGGTTCAAACCCACCAGCCACTCCTCGGAAGGAAGATTGGGCAATGAGACTCTTCATTGGAAACATATGTGCCTTAATTGACTGGGGGCTAAATTAAAGTCTGGCTAAGATAAAATGCATAAATACACACATGTAAGAGTTGCAGGAGAGACCTGTATTGAAGCCTAACCTTGGTGATTTTGTTTCTTTGTGGCTACTTACCTGCATTCACTGTTTGAGCTTTACTATTTATTGTCTGGCAGAGTACAGATATATCCAAGTTTTAATCTATTCTGCTACATATTAAGCAAGGTAGGTATCTGACCTCCTTTGTTATGGGGATAATAATAACCACCTCTAAAAAATTCTTGTTAGGTTTAAATGAAATACATAAAGTACTTAGTACCCAGTGCCCAGCACATAATAAGTTCTTAGTAAATTTTAGCTATTCAAAGTGCCATTCTAGTATATTCATCCATGCTAATCATAGTAAGAACCGACAGATAGCTTAAAATCTAGCAGGTAGAATTAATTTTAAAATATTAATTCTGAAATTTTAGCCCTGCTTTTATTTTCTTTTTTCAAAAATAGGATTAATTATGTTGATAATTCTATCTTAAAAAAAAAAAACCATTGCCCTCAAGTCAGATCCAACTCATAGTGACCCCTCCTTGGGTTTACAAGGCAGTATCACTACGGAAGTAGATTGCCCAATCTTCCTTCCAAGGGGTGACTGGTGGGTTTGAACTGCCAGCCTTCTGGTTAGCACTCAAATGCCTTAGGCACTACACCACCAGAGCTCCCACTTCCATCTTAGTTCTCAAAAATTGATGAGGTTTTTTTTTTTTTAAATATAGTTGTTATTTTGAGGTTCTCATATCAAAGCAGCTGTGTGTTTTGATGCTGAAGAGTATGAAATATAAAAAATAAAGAATATGAAATAATCCTTAGTGGAGTTTGAAATACAAAGAATGGACTATAAATAGTTTTAAAAATCACCTTTTTGTTTAGCATTGAAATATTATAGAAGGTGAATAAGCACTTATTACAGTTTATACTTGAACCCTTGTTTGAACCTTTGTTTTGATACATACATGAGCAAATATCAGTTAATTTTCTGGTAACCAACAGCAGAAAACAGTAGGAACTTGCAGACATATTATCAATTAATGTAACTTTTTGAAAAATACTGTTGCCATTATAGTTGAAGGCAGTGTAATGATATTGAAGAAAATATATTTAATAATAAAAAATTATCTAATTATTCTTCTCTTATAATTGCATTCAGAAAGCAAATCAGAATTTCCTTTTGTACAAAGAAAAGATTCTAATGTATTAAAATTTTTATATAGCATTTCATCAATATGTGGTACAATTGATTGCTTTCAAATCAGTTTTCTTTGAGAATATGTATGGATTATAAGGATGGCCTGCTTTTCTGGTGATATCAACTATTGACTGGAGAAGAGTGGAGGATGAAGCAGCAGCAAAATATTCAAATACTCCAGGTCCATGGAAGAAAGAATTGAGTGATCATTTATAACATATTTTCATATGGCAAAGAGAGTGCCCCCTGTTCTCCTGGTGGTGCTTTTCTTGGTGCTTTCTCTCTTCTACCACTTATTTGAATGCTTTCCAGCCTTTTTCACATCATGGCACATGTGGAAAATCATACTTGTATGGTACACTGGAGGAGCTCAGTAACATAGTGCTTAAGGCATTTGATTACTATCCAGAAGGCTGGCAGTTTACACCCACCAGCCACTCCTCGGAAGGTAGGTTGGACAATCTACTTCCATAGTGATACCACCTCAGAAACCCAAGGAGGGGTCATTATGAGTCAGGTTCAACTCAACAGCAGTGAGTTTGGCTTTCATGGTACACTGGGATAAACGAGCAGATTTGAAAGCATCCATATAAAGCTTGGTGGAAATTTGTCACATTTTCTTTTATTATATGATTATGATAAATGAAAATATATGATAGATATTAAATTAATTTTTTTTTTTAATTAATAAGATTAGAATCTTACTTGATTCTGCTTTTCTGGACAAAACCTTATTAGGCTTTATGTTTGAAATTGCTGCACGCATTCCTGTTCACGAGCTTCTGGTTGATTTCTTCAGATTCTCAATAGCTAATGCCATCAAGAAACGACACAAATTATTGGTAGCAAATGGCTGTAGAATAGTTACTGCTTCTTTAACAAAAACTTCTTTCTCACCACAAATCAGAATTTGCATGAACCAGTCTCTTTAAATTGTATTTTGAAGGTATGCTTATTCTTTCATCTAAATTGCGCTAAAAAAAAAAAAAAAAAACCTTATTGTGATTTGGGTGAAAGTTTACAGAGCAAATCAGTTTTCCATACTACAGTTTACACACATTTTGTTTCATGTCACTGATTGCAGTCTCCTTAGTGTAATTCTTCCCACTTCTTCCCAGTGTATCTCATTTCCATTCCTCCTTCTCTCCTAACCCTTTGTGCCTTCTGAACTTTTGTGTGTGGGGAAATGCTGCTCTTTTGATCTCCAATAGTTGATTGTTCTGAGAAGTGTATACCTTCCTAGTGTTATCATCCACTTTGTAGAGCTATTATTTGGCTGAGAATTGAACCATAGGAGTGAGTTCAGTTCCAGGTCCAAAGGGTGACTAAGGGCCATTGTTTTTGGGGTCCTGCCAGTGTCTATTTGACAAGGAAGCCTGGACTTTTTAAGATTTTGAGTTTTGTTCTACATTTTTCTCCCACTGTATCCATGACCTTCTAATGTGATCCCTTTCAAAGTAGTTGGTAGTTGTAGCCAGGTACCATCTAGTTCTTTTGGTCTCAGGATTGAGGAGGCTGATATTCGCATGGTCCATTAGTCCTTTGGACTCATTGTTTCCATGTGTCTTGTCTTTTCTTCATTCTTCTTCACTCCAGATGGGAGAGGAGCACAAGAGTTAAAGGCAATACCATTCTGCAATAACAGTGATAACAATAATCTATGAGTAGATACATAGATAGACATGCAAGCTGAACAGGTGTGGGAAGAAGAATGGGACTATACCCATGAATATATATATAGGTTTGACAAGATATTTCTATGTATTTACATAGGTATGTATTTACATATGCTACAGATATATCTATGAATATAGTAGAGCATACAGGGAACAAAGTTATTGAAACTCCTTAGCTGTCACCAAAAACCCTAAGAGAAAGAGTTGCTGGGCCTGGGGACTCAGAACTATAGTCTTGGGGAACATCAAGATCATTTGGTACAACATAGTCAACAGAGGAAATGTGATACATCCTACTTTGGTGAGAAGTACCTGACATCTTAAAAGCTTGTGAGCTGCCATCTGAGGTGCAACTATTGGTCTTCTTCTTCTTCTTTTTTTAATTGACAAAGTGATGTAAAAATTTCTTGTGGTAATGAAATAAAATTTTGTCCCTATAGCACTTTTTCATATTCAGTATTTAAGAATAGTGATGAGGTGGGAGGGGAGGGAAGGGAACACTGTAAAAACAAGAATAAATAAATAAAAAAGAATAGTGATGAAACTTTTCCTCAAGCACACATGGATGCTGCTCTACCACTTTTTAGTTATTCAGATTATAACTGAACTACATATCAGTAGAAAATAATATTTGTCAGTACATTAATATATTTTTACCTGTTTCTTATAGGATCTTCCAGATGTTCAAAAGTCTATTTTTAGGTCAACAAACCCCTTTTTTTTTAAACACTAAATCTGCAATGTGATAACTGTTCATATACAAAATTTTCAGTTTTCTTGAGTTTAGTTAAGTCTTGACAAAACTTTGCTTTTGGAAAACCAGCCAACTCCAGTACAAAACACCAGACTGTTGTATCTGATTCCATTCATAAAATGCTGAAAACAAAGGAGACCATGGGTGCTTGGATTTTATTAGATTCATCATTTGTGAAAGTATGTATGTGTGTCTGCATGGTTTGCCATCATTGCTTCATTTTATAATTCCCTGGTAAATAAGATACTTAGGCTAGTATTTAATCCTCATTACTTTGCTTATGGGAGTTCCTGAGTTGTGGAAACAGTTAACACACTCAGCTGGTAACCAAAAAGTTGGAGGTTCAGGTTCACCCAGCAGCACCTTGGAAGACAGTCCTGGCAGTCTGCTTCTGAAAAGTCAGCCATTGATAACCCTTTGGAGCACAGTTCTACTTTGACACCCGTGGAGTTGCCATGAATCAGAGTTGACAGTAACTGGTTACATTGCTTATGTGATGACTTTTAGTTTACATGTTTGTCTTCAAACCTTATAACTTTGCAACTTTAGTTTAAAAAGCCAGGCTTGTAGAAAAATAAAAAAAAAATTAAATTTATAAATCACTATGTAAGTTATAGGGAGCTCTGGTAGCATAGTGCCTAAGGCACTTGACTGCTAATCAGAAGGCTGGCGGTTCAAACCCACCAGCCACTCCTCGGAAGGAAGATGGGGCAATCTACTTCTGAAGTGATACTGCCTCAGAAACCCAAGGAGGGGTCGCTATGAGTCGGGTCCGACTCGACAGCACATAACAACAACAACAACATGTAAGTTATGTAATGAGGATAATATGTTAGTTCTTTATGAAATCAGGAGATAGATTGTGATTAGGGACATCTAAATGGACATAATTCCATTAAAGCAACTATCTTACTATAATATTATTTTGTTCTTGCATAAAGTAAGTAAACTTGGAAGTTTGAAATACTAATTTTCATTTAAGTCATTAAAATCCTGAAAACTGTTTAAAATATAAATATTACACTTATACACTCAAAATTACTTTGATAAATTATTATTCTAAGCCCATTATTTGTAGAAGTAAACATTGTTTTTTATTTGCAAATTAAAACTAATTATAACATTCCATAAAGATAGACTTTTGACTTATTGTTAACATCCAAACGCAATAATAAAATAATAAATAAGCAAAGGTGTATCAATCTAGGCAAGTAATAAAATCAGTTATTTAAATTTAAGAACACTTAATACTAGATAATAAGTATAATAATCATAATAATTATACATCCTTTTATGTTATTAAAAAAAAAATCTAAAAAGAGAGAGTAAATTAAGTAAAATGTTAATACTTTACAGTTGCCCACAATAAATGATTCACTGCTGAGAAGTAAGAAAGTGCTTAGTGGTCAGTCTCCAGGGCTGGTGTAGATCAGGGCTTCAGGATGGGAAGGGACCACTACTGTAGGATAGCTGCCGTACTCTCTGGCCATGGGTCCGCACATCAGAATCCCTGAATAAATACTTGTTGAACGAATGATTAAAGTTTGTACAATGTGCAGTGGGAGCAGAGGAGAAGGAGCAGCTTTATTTTCCAGGAAGGAGTCAGAGAAGAGGTAGACTTTCAGCTGAAACTTAAGGATGGAGAGGGAGTAGTAGCATTTGCTATTGAGTTTGGGAGAGCATGTGGCATCTAGAGAACTGTTGTTAGTTACTGTCTAGTGGATTCTGACTCCTGTTGACCCCATGTGTGCAGAGTAGAACTACACTATAGAGTTTTCACAGCTGTGACATTTTAGAAGCAGATGACCAGGCTTGTCTTCTGAGGTGCCCCTGGGTGGCTTAAATAGCTCTAATTTCTAAAGTATAAAATGAGGGAGGGAGTGGGAGGAGATAAGCCTGAACAGCAAGGCGGGAAACTGAGCAGTATCTTCTGCAAAGGCATGTAGATGTTACCTAATTATTTTTCAAATTGTGAGTTACAGCCCTTTAGTAGGTGCCCAGGTCATGCAATGTTTAAGTGCTTAGCTGCTAGCCAAAAGGTCAGCAGTTCAAACTCACCAGCTACTCTGTAGGAGAAAAAACCTGGCAATATGCTTCCATAAAGATTATAGCCCAGGAAACCCTAGGGGACAGTTCTACTCAGTCGTAGAGTGTGGCAATGAGTTCGAATTGACTCGATGGAACATAACAGCAACTTTTTAGTAGGACCTGAAATTAATTGGTGTGTCAAGACTACCCCTATACCCTTTGCCATCGAGTCAATTCTGACTCATAGCAATCCTATAGGACAGAGTTGAACTTCCCTATAGGGTTTCCAAGGCTGTAAATCTTTACAGAAGCAGACTGCCACATCTCTTTCCCACAGAATGGCTGGTGGGTTCAAACCACTGACTTTTGGGTTAGCAGCTGAGCAAGACTAGTGCTTTTAAAAAAATGTAATATAGTAGGCTAGTAAGTATCAGATTACATTTTGTATCGTAAAGCTATGTATGACTTAACAAAACCTTTACTACTTCTTGTCTCTGTGTGTGTGTGTATGTGTGTTATGCATCTATCTATTGTGTCCTGGATTGCAGTGTAAAATGTATTTCTTACTATGCATTGGAGTAAAAGAAGTTTGAAGTCACAATCGTAGGTATTGAGAAGACATTGAATAGTTTCAGTTGGGAAGTGACACAACTTTAATGTTAGATTATTTTTTATAGAGATCTGGAGAATAGATTGGGAAAAAAACAAGTAAGAAAGAAGGATTAAAAGCTATATCAAGTGACTGATGAAGTGGAATGGATATCAGATATACTTAAGAGGTAAAATTGCTAGGATTCTGTATTAGGGACATGACAATAACTCCCAAAGTGGCTGGTGCTGGCATCAGGGTACTTGGGAATGCTAATCACATAAATAGAATAACCATAAATAGTATACCATTTCTGATTCACCTCTTGCTTGGATGATATATTTTAAGGCTGAACAATTCTGAGTTGTTGTTGTTGTTGTTTGCCGTCGAGTCGGCCCCGACTCATAGCGACCCCTCCTTGGGTTTCCGAGGCAGTATCACTACGGAAGTAGGATTGCCCAACCTTCCTTCCGAGGAGTGGCTGGTGGGTTTGAACCGCCAGCCTTCTGGTGAGCAGTCAAGTGCCTTAGGCACTATGCTACCAGAGCTCCTGAACAATTCTGAGAGTAACATTAATTCTCCTCAAGAGTGTCATCACAAAGAATGGGCTATGTTGGCTCACCAGCTCTTTCCCTAGTCTTACTGGAGACTTTGTCCTGTTGACTTTGTCTTCTGGCATGTGTTACTGCTATAGAAAAATCTAAGGCAATCTCATTTTGATTCCTCAGTAGGTAACTTTTTTTCCCCTGTCTTCCTCCCTCTGTAGCCATACCTTTATATCCCTCCCTCTAAGCCAGTTACTGTGCCTACCCCCGCCCCGCCTGATTCTGCCCTTCTTTAAGCCAGCAAAGATATTGAAATGTCTCACATAACAACAACAAAGTAGTTATTGTTGGTGCAGGATTAAAGGGCACCCTTTACTTTGTTTTCTATGCATCTCTTCATTTTCTATGATGAAACATACATTGATTAAAACATTTTCCTAATTATAAATGTATGCATATTTACTTTAAAAAATTAAAAAGAATACAAGAACAGGATGGGAATATATCTAGTAATCCTAACCTCCAGAAGTAATTACAGTTAATACTTTGGAGAGGTTTTTCCTGTGCATATACTGACTCACAAACACATGTATTATTTGTAACATATAACTACCATTCCTCTACAATTCTGTAACTTGTGCTTTTTTTCCCCCTTGGGAAATATAGAATCCTTTCATATATAAATTACAAATATAAAGATATAGGGGAGACCAGGGAGGTAACTTAAATGAACTAAGTGAAGTGCTGTGATGTAGTAGAGGTAAAAGGGAGCAGGGTATGCACCATCGAAAGAGGCAGCCACTGCTTAGCTGTAGTTATTTATTATCTCTTTATTTTTGCCATGTTAACACTGCCAAAATGTGGACCTGTCATTGTTGGAGCTTTTGATTTTGCAAGAGAAGCTGAAATTTGGGAATTTTTTTAAGTTGAATTTTTCCTATTTTTATAATACACAGTGTAAGCAAGCAATCTGTCGGTTGGGTTGTTTGCCACTTGAGAGATGTAGCCATTCTGTTTAAAGTAGCCCTTAAAAAAAAAAAAATGCGTGGCATCTTTCTCTTCGTCTTTTCCCATTTACTCATCATTGACGTTGATATGTTCTTCTGCAATGCTGGCAGATACCTACCTTAGATTTGAAACTGAACAATAGGTTCATCTATAAAGCATCTTATGTGTTGTAGTTCTGTTAAAATTCCTAAAGAGTGTTAAGAGTTTCACCCAGGACCTCATAGCCATAGGTTGCTTACTCTTCTTTCTTAAATGCAGAGCAAAGGATTCAGAAAAAGGTAAAAAAATTGCAGGGGTTAAATGTTGGCTAGAGGCATTGTACTTAGCAAATACGGTAGTTCATACCACTGACATGTGTAGTGGCGTAAGGACTTGATGGACCAGAACCAGCTGATACTTTGGACCAGATTGTGGAGTGGACCTACTTCTTGTTCCTCATTATGATGACTCTGAAGGGTTCTTTCCTTTTCCAGTTATTTTGTGGACATTTGAAAGGGAACTAGTAAGAGGCATTATCCAATACTTAACTCATACTTGTTTATGTCACTAAGGTATGATTGCTAATGCTGCCACGTCATAGAATTGTTGAGAGGATTAAATTAAACAAGATGCTATATAGAAGAAGCTAGCCATAGTGCCTGATATTTAATAGGTGTTCAGTAATGTTGATTTCCTTCCCTTTATTCTATTATTTTGTTCTAATGTAAAACTCTTAGTACATATTTCATTCAAACAAACTTGTAGGATACAGACTCTCCAGATTGGGGGCTACTTGTATTGACTTATGAGTAGTAGTAGTATAAAGAAGTAGAGCTTCTCATTTGTGGCGTTAACGTGCATTAAGCAGAACTGATTTTTTGTTTTGTTTTGTTTATAGTTTTTGACGTGTTTCTGTTTTGGTCTGACTAGGAGGAACCTGATCTGGTTAGTGCAATTTATGGCCGAGGGATAGCCTATGGAAAGAAGGGACTACATGTGAGTATGCCATAGTGCTTACATTACCTGACAGGGCTAAGGGGTCACATGGAGCCGTTTACTGTTTAGTGAGCTCTTATGGCATGAGTAGTGGTGTTTTTTCAGTTTTATAAATGAGCAAATGGCAATGGAATAATTTACTCAAGATCAGATGGCTAGTAAGTGGTAGACTTGGGATCTCTACCCAGGTCTTCTGAAGGTCGATTTTGCCACACTTCCACTCCAAAAGGATAGTTTTCCCTTGTCTAAACTTGATTTCTTGATGTACTGGACATAGACCAAGAAAAGCCGGAGAGTTTGACTGCATTCCTAAGAAATGTTCTTTGTTCAAAGCAGAGATCAGTTATCAACAGTTACAGTAGGACTTGGATTTTGAATTCTTTTCACAGTTTTAAAATTGAATAAAAGAACAAAAATTTTTTTTTAATGTGTAAAACTTATTTTGTTACCACAGTTTTTCTCAGATACGTATAATATCTTTGTACTCATGATTAATTATTCCTCTTAAGTCTCTGAGGAAGGCAGGAGAAAGATTGTAATAACCATATTTTATACAAATAAAGACACTATGGTGTAAAAATTAAGACTTACTTGAGATTATAGTTTAAGATTCAGATCTCTAAATTTTAAGTCTGGAACATTAGACACCAACTTTTTCTATTTGTCTTGTTGTAGGCTAAAAATATTCAAATGATATGCTTTGAGAGAGAAATATCAGGTGTTTCACCAATAAAAATATTACACGAAGCTGGCCTGTTAGAGAAATTTTACATAATATTTGTACGCTTTATTACATCCTTAGGCCTGTGTTTGATCATCCGAAACATAGAGGACTAAGAATTCAGAATTTGGAATGGGGGAGGTGGTTTTAGGTAGGGAACAGTGTTGTAGTCAGAGGGTCAGTAAATGATGAGTATGAAAATTACTCTATAGCAATTGTTTAGCTATTGTTCATAGCTAAACTACTTCTTCCTTATCCTCATCTCTTTTAATTTTGTATCTTGACATAAAATTTGCATCTTTAAAGAAAGTTATACTTGAGTTTTAAGAAATATTTTTAATATAAAAGTAGGATACTTGCTGTGGCAAATTTTAAGAGCAATAACCCAGACTTTTTCAAGTAGAGGTATATTATCAATAGGCTTGTGGTTTTGATTAAAGCTGACTTGGTCTCTTTTCAACCCCTGTTGTCATTGGTCTGCATCGTTTCACATGTTGGTAGCCACAAACTTATCCTTGAAGGCCATTGATTGAGACTTTAGATAGTGTAAATTTAGAAAATATACTTTTTAATGCCATCTGTGGAACTTCTGGAAGGCTGCCAGGTTAAAGGTGCTATTGATGGGTAGATAGACTTAAGTGAATTAAATAAATTAAAATTATAATGCCATATCTTGTTTATCTTGGCTTCATATTTACTTCTAGAAAGTCAATTATATCATTACTAAATTACCAGTTTTTTCAGAAAATCTTTTCAGCCTGGTTTTGAGTAACAGTATGTCTTATACTAAGCTAATGCCTTTTTAAGGACATTAAGAATGCTGAGCTTGCTCTGTTTGAATTGAGCCGAGTAATTACCTTGGAACCAGATCGTCCAGAGGTATTTGAGCAGCGAGCAGAAGTGAGTGCGGTTTTCTTTTTCCCTTTCTCACTACTGGATTAGTTGAATCTTGGATTTCTTTTTTCCTGTTATTTTATTACTTGTAAATTTTAAGTTCCTTTATTCCATTGTGTTTTCCTCCATAGGTACTTAATGCCCTTAAACAGAGTTGAAATTACTAGAACACTGTGGACTGAGTGATCCTTCTTATCTAACATATAATAATACTATTTAGTAAAAAAAATGTTGTTATGATATACACTTGTACTACTGCTATCAGTGTTCATTAAAAAATACATCACATGTGATATTTACTGTCTATATGGTACTTTGGCAAAACTTAATAGGACACTTCGGTCAAAATGAAATTTTTAACCTTTTGAAGGAGCAATCCATTGATGTATGTATGTGTGTGTTTGTATATATACCTGTCTACCTAAATACATGGATCTGGTAAGGGTGATTATAGTGAGACCTTAAAGGAACTTTGGACTTGAAGTAAAGACAGAGAGGTAAAATGTGGTGAAAATACCATGTCATACTTGCCAGAATGGAAACTAAGATGTGCTTGTTAAACAACAGAGGAGGCACTGTCTGACGGTGCTGGTGAGAGGAAGTGAGTGACGAGAATATTTGAGGAAGGTGACTGAGACAATGACACTGGATGCAAGCCCATTTCTTGGGGACATGAAATGGAGAAGGATGTTTGGAACGGAGAAAAGAGTGTGTGTAAATGGAAATGTGTTGGTTTTACTGTTTTCATAAAATAGTAGTAAACTCTCCATATTTTATGTAGTGTCCATTTTATACACATTGAATCATATAAATGCTTTAGGATTTATGTTAATGTACTATCTGAATAAAACTTTCATCATCTGATACAGCATGATTTACAGTTGGACTAATGAAAAAAATGACCTTTTATATCTCTTTTTGGGGAGGAAAACAGCAAGTAATGGAAACACTAAGAGTTTAGTCATTTTAAAACTGCTTTTGTGTCTCTCAAAAACCAGAAACCAAAACCACTGCCATAGAGTTGATTGTGACTCATAGCAACCCCCATTGGGTTTCCAAGGCAGTAAATGTTCATGGAAGTAGATTGCCCCCCGTTCCTTCGACAGAGTGGCTTGGTGCATTTGAACTCTTTTGATTATCAGTCAAATGCTTTAGGCATTGAGCTCCCTCAAAATTATAGTGTCCTAAATTTTAGTTTAGTTTCTTAAGGTAAATTTTATGTCTTGTTGGAAATTTGATTTTTTAAATAAAATTCCTTTTCAGTGGTATAATTCATCTCGTTTCTATTTTGGATTGTAACTGCTAAAGTGTTAAGTGATTGTAATTTGTTAATTACTGTATGAGAGAGTCTTTTTGGTTTTCATGTGAGGATTTGATGGCTAATTTGATGACATGCTCTAGGGAAGGAGTACTGATGTTTTCTCCCTCCATTACTCAAATTTTATTTTGAAAGATTATTATAAGATGTGAATTTAATTAAAGGTACCTAGAAATAAGGCACTGAAACAAGGCGGGCTTGTGCTTACTCACTGATCTGCACTGAACACGTTCCCTTGTTACCCTACCGAGAGGGACCAGGTCTTCCGGAGCAAGGTAAGCACAGGCGTAGCACAGAGTAGCAGGCCGGAAGAGCAGGAGGAAGGGG